GGGGGGGAGGAGGGATCCGAACAGGGATCTCAGGCCGCAGCCGCGTCCCACCACGCCCCGCCACGCCCCGCCACGCCCCGCCATGTCACTTGCAATTTATTGAGCACCGACCCTGCGGCTCGGCCCACCGCTCACACCTGCAGCTGCGCGCCTTGCACGCGTCTCCAGGCGTCCCGAGCGCTCGTGCTGTCGAGTTAAGCCCTTGCTGTGTTGTTGCAGATCACACGCCGTGCCTGTCCTACCGGCGGCGCGCGAGCCGCGGCTACTCGGCCGACGTGTTCCTGCCGCAGTGCCAAGGCGACGGCTCCTTCTCGCCGCTGCAGTGCCACGAGGAGTCGGGCTACTGCTGGTGCGTGACCCCGCAGGGCCGCCAGGTGCCGCACACGGCCCTCAAGGGCCGCCGCCCCAACTGCACGCGGCCGGCCAAGACGCGCCGCGGCTCCGGCCCCCGCGGCCCGGCGCGGGCCTGGCGGCGTCAGCGCAGGGGCTGCGGCCGCGGCGAGCGCGCCAACTTCAAGAAGAACCTCATCGAGATCTTCCGCATCGAGTACCGGCGCGCGGCGCTCGCCTCAGGTGAGCCGCGGGAGCAGGATGGGATGGGGCAGGAGCAGGGCAGGAGGGCGAGGACGGCGCGCGGCCGAGGAGACGGTAAGCTTGACCATCGCATTGTGCCCCGCAGAGACGCGGCCCGGCCCTGGCCCCGGCCCCGGCCCAGAGATGGACCTGCGGGTGCTGGAGTGGAAGTTTGCCGAGCTGGACACGAATGGCGACGGCCTCCTGCGCCGGCCCGAGTACCAGGAGCTGCGCCGCTCGGTGCGCAAGAAGCTGACCCCCAAGCCGTGCGCCAGGACCTTCACCCGACGATGCGACATGGACGGCAACAAGATCATCTCCAGGCTGGAGTGGGAGGCCTGTCTCGGGCACGAGTTTAACAGTGAGTTTGACCTGAAATTTGTCTCTGGTTGCGGATTGACATAGCCCCGTTGCCGAATTACTGTAGTTGGTGGTGGCTCCTTAGAGTTTGTAGCGGTGGAAGTGTAAGACATGATAACTGGAAGACAGCCATGTTCTGTGTGGATGACTTCGATGAACATGAAAGTAGCGACCTTTATTTCCTGTAGTGCGCATGCTTTCTCGACCAAGAGATAAATTTGTGGTGGAGTAGGGAAACTGCTCTCCCACTGATGACGCGTCGAAGGTGTTGCCTACCCTCACGGAGCTCCCTCGGCCGGCGGCACTGTGTAACCCGTACTCTACTCGCTGGGCTGGGGGGCACGCGCGGGTCGTGCACCGCGACTACCGCGACCAGGCGACCGGGACCGACGGCGCAGCGTGTCGACGCTAGCATTTACTCGCCCACACAATCTGCTGGGGACGGGGATGACTTCCTGCTGGGAACGACGCGACGCCTTTGCACATCCCGTCTCCTCCCAAATGCGGGCGGGGTTTATTAGGCGGGGTGGGGCCAGAGTGACCCATCAGCGTAAAAGAGTTTGTAGTGAATGCTTTGGTCTGGTGGCGGTCTGTTCCGTAGGCGTGAGGCCGGCCAAGGGTCCTGGTAAAACCAAGCACCAGGAGATTTGTGGCAAACGAGATAGTACTGGATAGATAGATCCCGCTTGATTTGGATTGACGTTTGACTCGGTGGGGGTTTGTTCCGTAGGCTTGCGACCGCAGCGGAGGCCCGCTAAGGCAATGGACTCGGGTGCTCATCCAGGTAAGCTGCTAGAAACAACCAACGGGTAGTAGTCCCACGCTTGTTGTACAGTCTTTGCATTCAGAACGGCTAGAATAGCATGCTTGCATGATGACATGCTGCACGCATATTTTAACGGAAAACAAAATGAATAAAAAATATATAATTGTTA